ATACCTTGCCATCATCATTATAGTTGATATATATCCCAGATAAAGATCTTGATATCACCTGACTCTTGCTTACACACAAAGTGGATGAGGATATAGGTTTGTTGGAGACCTCAGGGCCACCAACAAAATCCCTTACTTCCCAGTAGTACCTAACACAAATGCCATCCTGTCATTAATTCTGCCTGAGGGCACTTCCTTTACTGCAGTGGATCTTTGCTCTGCCTTTTCATTGTGCCTCTAGACCACAACAGTCAGTATCTTCTTGCCTTCTCCTGGAGAAGTCCACAATATTTGTGGATATATTCATGCCCCGGGGGGCAATACATGCCTTGGAGAGTCACCGAAGCCTCCTCTACTTTGTGCAGAGAAGATTGAGGCCTGTAAAAGACATTCCATTTACTTCCTGTCAGCATTAACAGAAAAGGGACAAAAGTTGCAAAAGATAATTTACAATTTTACAAAAACACAGTCCATACATGGGGCATGACCTATTTAAGGAGGGGAAAATATTTTCTCCCGATGTACTAAAGGCTATCTAAATGTATCATAGACCACTCACAAAATGACAGTTGAGAGGACTCCTAGGTTTAATTTGCTATTGCAGACAATGGATGCCAAATTTTTCTGCAATCATGACACCTTGGGGAACCCAAACATGAACAGATCTTCTGTAACCAGAAGAAGGTTCTTCAACAGCTTCTTTCTCCCTCTATCCCTAACTTCAAAATTTCCTTTTATCTATTTGTGCATGAGCTATCTGAAAGAGCCCTTGGGGTTTTAACTCAACTTCATGCAGACTATCAGCCTCACCTTGGACCTGGTTGCGAAGGCTAATCTTCCTTGTCTTAGGGCAATAGCTGTCATTCAAAAACGTGCTGATGCTTCTACTGAATTAATTCTATGTCATTCAAAAACGTGCTGATGCTTCTACTGAATTAATTCTATGTCATTCAAAAACGTGCTGATGCTTCTACTGAATTAATTCTAGGCTCCTTGCTTGGTCTCATGATTCCCCACGTAGCTCAAACACTACTACTGACTGAGAACACACAATACTTTCCAGCCAGCCAATTAACCTCTTATGAGAGACAGTGATTCTCTCCTTCTCACATTACTATTTATTGCTGCAAACCCCTGAATCCTGCCATTCTCTGGCCCTGTCAGATGAAGGGGAACCTCATTATTGTCATATCTCAGTTACGGACCTTTCTGTATCTCACTGTCATTGAGAACCTCGACCTCATATGATTTGTTGACAGATCATACTTCAAAATAAAACTGGAGGTTATCAAGCAGAATATGGTATCCCTAATTAAAGCTCTCCTTTAGAATATAGTTTTCTATCTGAGGTAAAATGAACCCAGATAGCAGAACTTGTTGCACTTACTACATCATGTCAACTCACCAAAGATTAGAGAGCAAACGTATCTACAGAGAGAAGGTATGCTTTTGGAGTAGTTTGTGACTTTGGAATGCTTTGGAAACAAAGGGTGTTTCTTATTGCTGCTGGAATTCCCATCAAAAACGGGTAAGAAGTTAGGGGAACTGTTGAAGGATGCCTACTTCGTGGACAGGTGGCTATTATTAAGATTGAGACCCATACAAAAAGAGTTGATATGAAAGCAAAAGGAAATGCTTGTTATGCCAAACAAGCAGCCTCAACCAAAGTTATAATACGAACCATCAAAGAAAAAATCGCTGGACGGATTCAAAGAAGCCATTACAAAATATTAATGTTTAGTCCCTTATTCAGAAAAAAAGTAATGAGGGAAAATCTGGTTGCATCCTTCACTCAGGTAATCTTAGGTGCTACTCCCAAGATGGCTGCTTGGTGGCACCAGATGATTTCAAAATGAATATTAGCTAAATTTCTCTTGAAATTATGCATTGTGGTACAGATGCACAGGAAACTTTAAAAAGGCAGCTGAGGTTTATTTTGGGGTCACACATCACCTGTCAACAACATAATCCTGGAAAAACTGTAAAGCAAAGACACGGTCAGCAGCTTGAGCCTCAAGGGCCCTTGGGACACCTTCGGATAGATTTTTATCCAGTTTCCATCCCCCCATGGAATTTGATGTGTTTTAGCTATTGTATGTCTACGTTTAGGATGTTGACGCATTTCCTTGCCAAAAAGCTACAGCCCTTATAGTTGCTAAAAAAGCTGTTTGATTTTGTTTCCAGTCTGAGGCATACCAACTTTTATACCAAGCAACAAAGGCAAACATTTTACTGGGACCGTTACATAAAGTCTCTGTAAGGCATTACTCATTACCAGAAACTACACCGTCCTTACCACCCATAATCTGGGAAGTTGGGAGAACCAATGGCATCTTTAAAGTTCATAAAATTTTCAAAAACCCTTGAGCTCCCTTGACCAAAGGTGTTCCCACTAGCCCCTATGGCCATATGGTCCACTCTCTTAGGGACACCTCACTTAGCCCCCTAAAAATGAGCATTTGGAAAGCTCATACATCTAGGAATTACACCTGTGACACCAAACCTGAAGTGTTCCATCCTCTTCACTATAAAGCTTTCCCACTCCCACACCTGCCTTTGAATTTTGCTAAATGCAAGGCAAATGCACTGTGAATGGGTAATTACACCTCAGCCTGAGAACTGCACAGTAAAAAGAGGTCCAGAGCTCTGAGATGAAGGTCTGGATCATCCCATTAGAGAAGCAACCCAGGCCAGCTGAAGTACTGGCTGTGGGTAAGGTGAGCCTTGAATAGGTGGTACATGGAGGGAGATGGTGAGTATCAATTATGGCTTTGGGATCAACTGAGGCAGCGGGGGCTGGAGTTGGTCCCAATCACCTTTCATTTCTAGGTTTTATTCTAAAAATAGACATGGAGTAAATGAAAAATAAATAAAAATGAAATAAAAGTTGTGACCAGTTACCATCCTAGATATTCAGTGTAATGAGCTTACCGTGTAGAAGCAGTGGATCTGAGTGGTGCAAGAAGTGGACCATCACAGATGCTGTTAGTATCTCACCCATGCCCCCTTGGACACCTTTGTCATGTTTCATGCTCAGCAGCTTCCTGATCACTTTTACTCCCAAGAGTCAGCATTGGAGTCTCTTTGTCAGAGGGCTGCCCTCTAGAGCAGAAATATCCCAGAGGGCCTGGGAATTTTCCACACACACCCAGCCATGAACCTTAAACAATAACCGATGGGCGTGGGGCTCCAATACGTTAGCTTCTTTGTCTTGATCATAACAATGTGACCTACACTGTCTCTGGAGCTAGCTGTCAAATTGAGTCAAAGTTACAGGGGGTTGCTTGATAATGTGTCCTTTCCTTTCTTTCTTAAACTCCTTTCCTTCCCAGGTCCATTCTTCTACAACATTTTCCCCAGAGGACACTTCTTAAATAAATTACTTGCACACAAACTTTCATCTCAGAATCTACTTCCAGGGAACCCAATCTAAGACAGCTGAGGACAGCTGAAAGTGTATGGTTGCTAACTATGGACCATGAAATACTAAGACAATAACAATTTGAATAACATTCCTCCAAAGAAAAAAATAACCACAAAGTTCTCCTCATCTCCCCTGACTCTAGCTGTGGGAGGTGGGTTGTAAGGATCGCTGAATGGGAAGAAAACTGGAAAAGCTCTTGCCATATGGAGTAATAAAATTGTTATCACTTTGGAAATTTTCCTTCTCCAGGTGGCAGTTATAGATATTCTGGCTCCCAAGAGGCAACAGCTCCAAGAGGAAATAAAAACTTTTATGATGCTGGCCAGGTGTGGTGGCTCATGCCTGTAACCCCAGCACTTTGGGAGGCTGAGGTTGGAGGATGGCTTGCACCCAGAAGTTCAAGACCAGCACGGGCAACATGGTGAGACCCTGTCTCTACAGAAAAAAAAAAAAAAAACAATTAGCTGGGCTTGGTGTCTCCATACCAGATGCCTGGATGGAGTCTCACTTCTACCTAAAAATCTGTCTCTCAAGCAAATATTGGCAGTGCTCTCCTGCCCCTCCTCTTCATTCGGAAAGTTACTTTATTAAGAGAAGTACCTTTACTTTGACAACAAAGGCAGGAGTATGTTTAGAAGCCTGTCACATTCTTACATACACATGAATGTGTTATTGGTAATTGGGGCTACTGATGTCGTCTCCTTTATGAACCCACTACCTGTTATGATCCATCACTTACTACCTGCAAAGTATAACTCTGGAGCTGAAAATAGAATGATAGTCTGTTTTCAAATAAATCCTAAAATGCTTTCATTTCATACCTCTGTTCCATGAGGAAAAAATTTACACAGAGCTGGATATGTTTTGCCCAAGCAGAGTACAATAATAATGTTTAGGTCAAATTAGATTTGTAATTAGAAAATAAATACCATTTTGGTATTAAATTCAGGGATAAAATGAACCCATGTCCATGTATGTATTTATAGACACTAAAGCACAAAGCAGCCAGTCTAGCAGTGCCCAGTGTTTCACGACTTTGGCTGAATCTCTGTTCTCCAGCAGAACAGAGTGTAAGCTCCTGAAAGGCAGGAACCATTTTTTTGTCAGCTTTGGATTTCTCCAAGTGGTAGCACAGTGTTCACTCAAAGAGGTGAATTCAATTAAACAAGAAAACAATTTTTACAAAACAGTTAATGACAATGGCTAAGCTGGCAGTAGACTTGAACTTAGATGTTTAAACAATGCCATTCTTACTCATTTTAGAGTGAAACTATAAGAGGGAAAGGGCCAGGCATGGTGGTACATTCCTGTAGTCCCAGCTACTCCGGAGGCTAAGGCAGGAGGATCGCCAGAGCCCAGGAGTTTCAGGTTGCAGTGAGCTATGATGATGCCACTGCACTCTAGCCCAGGCAGCAGATGAGACCCTGTCTCAGAGAAAACAAACTAACCAACCATCAAAAAAAAAAAAAAAAAAAAGAGGGAAAGGGGAGAGAATTAAATTGAATTAAGTTTTAAACTAAAACCTCCAAGTCTATAGTAAGGAAGAATCACAGTAGGTTTACTCAGTGAAAAGGACTGGTATTTTAAATACATTTTAATGAAAACATTCTCATTATTTTAAATAAAAATGACTTGCATTTTTAAATCTCAAGCTACTCTGGCATTAGGACTTAATTGTTTCCTCCTCAACAGGTTTCAGATGCCACTGCACTACTAATTCCCCAGTGCTCTTGAGGCACGTGTTACACATGTCTTCCTCTGTTGGAAGTCCTTGTGGCAACTTCAGGGGCTGGATTCTGTGACATAAGAAAACGCATTTAGATAGGTGAATTATGTTGTAGTGCTCTGTATCACTGTACGATGACCATATTACATAGTTAATGATATTACATAGTTTCAAATAGCTAGAAAGAGGATATTGAATGTTCCCAACACAAAGAAGTAAGTGTTTGAGATGACAGATATGCCAATTACCCTGATCTGATCAGTATACACTATATGTATTGAAACATCACTATGTAGCCCAATTATTATGTGTCAATTAATAAAGTAAACAAAAAGTTTTTTCAGAATATTAAAAAATAAGAAAATGCATTTAGAATTACACTAGGTAACACATGTTTAAAACTGCTGCGATAGGGCAGTCTACTACCTAATTGTGGGTGAGGATCATGGTAGCCTACAAGCAGGTCCAAAAGGGACCGCTGAAGTTGAAAGGCATCACAGAGCTTGGCGTGACCAAGTGGAAAAAGAAACAGAAGGACAAAGGTGAAACTCCTGGAAGCAATGGGAATGAGCAAAAATAACATGGAGGTGAAGTGGTGCGGCCTGGACAAGTAGACCCCAGCACAGGTGGCCTTCAAGAAGATGCAGGAGAAGTGGCAAATGGAAAGGATTCTGAAGAAAGCATCCAAAATCCATGAGCAGAGAGTGGAGGACTTCAGCAGACACCTGGATACATTCACAGAGCATTAGGACAGTCCCTAAATCAGCTGGATGAAGTAGCGTCCTGGCCCTGGGTACAGAGCAGCATCGAGGCAAAACAGAAGGCCAAGTCAGGGTTACGTCTGCTCCCTCTGGTATTTTCTAGAAACACTGCTTTGCGCACACCCTCACATCTTCTGCTGTGACAGTGCTTTTCGAAGCTGTGTGACCTCATCCTAGAACTTGATTAAAGTAAGAATATCCTTTTAAAAACAAACAAAAAATTGCTGAGATAAACAACAAACCTTATCAAATGTTTAACCACTTTCAGTTTTGCATTCACTGAAGGGATGTTCTTGTGAACTTGAGGGGTATGTGCCTATGAACAAAAGAAACAACGTTATGGATCAATTTAGAAAACAGTTCCATGTTTCAATAAAGTGTTAAATTGAAGGCTCATTCTGTCCAAAACTTATAAATAAGTTACACTAAGTAATACACTTAAACACAAAAAATAATAAACATATACCTTAAAGTTTAAAAAATGTAAAATTTAAAGCCAATTTACACAACACTAAAGATGACTAAAATAGTTGCATACTTTTTGTAATCCAAGCATCTTTATTGTATCTTTTTCCCAATATGGTCGTCTTTTTGTACTTTTTATTCTGGTAACAATATGCAGTTTATGAGGGTTCTGTGGATCCCCACCATACTTTTCATGATCTTCAGGTGAAGGCTGAAACACCTAGAAAGGAGGAATTATAAATGGTAAAGTTTCAACTTACACACAGTTTCTATGTGCCTCCCATTTTTTTATTAAACCACACCCCCCCATGTAATGATCTCATCCTTAATTAGTATGTAATCCTCAACTTCAAATTGAACATTTCTACCAGTCTGATTACTCAAATAGATGGAGACTAAGAATTTCATACTTTAAGAGAAATATCATATAGGCAAGGATTATTTTTGTTTGTTTCATTTTTTAACCTGTAGAACAATGCAGGAGCAACTAGATGACCCTAAAGAATTCAAATGCCAGGAGAATGTGCTAGCACTGCTATGAGATGGGCATTGGGCTGCAGTCCCCGCCCTATTCTCAGAAGGTTAGGAGTTGACTGTCAAGTAGGGGAACAAGTAAGTTAAAAACCACATTAAACATGTGTATTACAAAAAGTATGTACAAAGTATGGGGTAGGTGTGTCAAAGAGGTGAGAATATGTAAAGGAACAGTGTGAAAGAAAGAACATGAAATATTTGGGAAAAGCAAGTGGTTTTAGTGTGGCTCACACAGAAAAAACATATGAAAAGCAATGTAGTGGATGAAGTTAAATTATGCTCAACTATGCTGAGTCTTTAGAAATTACCAGAAGGAATACAGAGCTATTGAAGGTTTGAAGCAATAAGACCATATTTCAAAAAGAGTTTCAGAAAGAAAACTCTTACAAGAGAATAAAAAGACACAGGGATAGGGACTGGTACAAGGAACCCAGTTAGGAGGCACTTATGGTCATGGTTTAAGAGGCTGAGCTACAGTAGTTGTAACAGAAAAGGGACCAATCTGGAGACTTTGGACAATAAAATAGATGGATTTGTGGTGGGTGAAGGAGAAAAAGGTTGAGCTTGGTTCAGATGCCGCTAGTATCGGAAATCAGGGGAAGGACAGTAGCACTAACTGACATAACTAACACAAGAAAGGCACCTTCTTCCTTTTGTTTGGCTGGTTGTTTGGAGGGAAAGTAAGATAAGTTGAATTTTGTGTATGTTTAACATAAAATACCTATGAGTTACTCAAGTAGCAATTTCCAGAAATCAGTTGAGAATACAGGAATAAGTTCAGAAGACAGGCAGGAGCTGGAGATAATACATCTCAGAGTCATTTCTAAAAAGTTTAAAAGTATTCACGTTTATCACAGCTGATGATCAAAATCACTTCCTTGCACATTTTAAATGAATGCCAACAATTGTATCTATTCTTCACTTGCGGAAACAGAGTAAGAAACATGGAAAGATATAAGACAATACAGTTGTGGCAAGGACAGCAGTGGACATACCATGACTTGAAAAGGGAGAGGGGAGACTGGGGAGTTACTATTTCTAGGATAAAGAGTTTCAGTTTTACAAGATGAAAAGAATTCTGGAGATGGATGGTGGTGATGGTTGCACAATGTGAAAGTACTTGCTACGACTGAAGAGCACACTTAAAAATGGTTAAGATGGTAATTTTATAATATGTGTATTTTACCACAATAAAAAAAATTAGGGGGAAAAAACCCTGCAAATAAACACACAAAAAACCCAGGTTTTACACAGTCTTTACCATACAATCCAGCAATTGCACTCCTAGGTATTTCCCCATGAGTTGAAAACTTAAGTGCACACAAAAACCTGCACATGAATGTTTATAGCAGCTTTTTTCATTATTGCCAAAAAAAATGGAAGCAACCAAGATGTCCTTCCATAGGTGATTGCACAAATAAACTGTACATCCACACAATGCAGTATTATTCAGCAATAAGAAGAAATAAGCTATCAAGCCATGAAAAGACATGGAGGAAACTTACACACATACATTGTTAAGTGAAAGAAGCCAGTCTGAAAGGGCTTACATATTCTATGATTCCAATTATACAACATTGTAGAAAAGGCAAAACTATAGAGTTAGTAAAAAGATCAGTGGTTGCTAGGGGTTGAATAGGTGGAGCACAAGTGATATTTAGGGCAATGAGACTATTCTGTATGACACTGTAATAGTGGACACACGACATTTCGCATTTGTCAAAACCCATAGAACGGCACAACATAAAGAGTGAACCCTACTGTAAACTATGGTCTTCAGTTAACAATGAGTCATTGTTGTTTCATCCATTGTAAGAATCGTACCACACCAATGTCAGACGTTAATTAACAGGAGGAAACTGTATGCTGGGCAGAGGGAACACATAGGAACTCTGCACTTTCTCATCAATTTTTCCATAACCTAAAACTGCTCTAAAGTCTACTAACTAAAAAAAAAATATACAACAAAAAACCAAAAGAAAATGAAAACAAAAATCAATGGAGGGCTTCATCAATGTTTCTAAAAGAATGACAAGTACATATAAATCTAACAGAAAAAGCTGAAAGATCCAAAGTAGCAATGATCAATACAGAAAATGAAGAGTCATATAGTGAGAGCCTGCCTGAGTAGGAAGATCTACTGTTTTCTCAGGACAACGGTGACACACACACACGCACACCCCCCAAACCATAAACAGGACTAAACAGACTCTGAAATAATAAAAATCCACTACTGTGGAGACCAGTGGCATAGGTAACAAAACACAGTTTTATTTTTAATAATTGTTATCTACATAAGTTCTATGTTTTAAATTGTGCACCACTACCTACAACCACACATAATTTAACATAAAAGCTTTCAATATTACAAAAATAGGCACCTTTTAAAGCATGTTAAAGAAAACACAACATACCAAAAAAAAAAAAAAACCAACTTTGTTCTTACTTTATCTGGAATTCTTGACTTGGTAAATTTGTGACGAATCCAGTCTGTACAAATCAGAGATTCCACACCTTTTGTCACAGTCTAAAATATGATATAAAGTATTTATTTTTTTAGAGCTGTCTAGTGCAGAAATCCATACTCACCAATCTTCAGGTGACAAAAGTCTGTTCTAATCTAACCTCTAATTGTTAAAGTTTTATTTTAGCTTCCTAGCTGAATGAATACATCCCATCTAAACACTACCATATAAAATTAAAAGCACGTAAATATAGATTTCTAGGCCATGGGTTGGTAACCTTTCTCTGTAAATGACCAGATAGTAAATATTTCCAGATCTGGAGCTATACAGTCTCCACTGCCAAGACTTGAGTCTGCCATTATAGGGTGAAAGCAGTCACAGATAACATGTAAACAAGTGGGTGTGGCAGGCATGTTTCAATAAAACTTCATTTACAAAAATAGGTGGCAGGCTGAATTTGGCCTGGAGGCCAGTTTACCTACTCTTGCTCTAGGCAACATTCAAGAATTCACCTTCAACAAGATTATGTAAAAGAAATCCAAAAGGAGTTTCTAGTATTCTTTCTAAGTCCTAACAATGCCACCACTCCTAGTTCTTATCTCTTGTTCCTGCTATACTTTTCTCCAATCCTGTTCCTCTCAGGCTGTAGAAGAAGGATTCATTGCTAACCTTTCATATCAGGATACTGCCATGTGGATAGGCAACAGTCACTGTCTTGTTGCCTTCCCTATATTTCAGAGATGGCACAAACAACTAGAGATTAGGCAGGAGGGAATGGGGGTGGGAAAGGAAACACTGGGCTTCTAATCCTGGTCCTGCCACCTACTATCTGTGAGACACAGGACACTTACCTTCTCAGAGGGTCAGTTTCCTCAGTTCTAAAATGGAAATAATACTGACCTCACAGGATTAATCTGAGGTTAAGAATATGTAAAGTATCTGACATTACCGTCATCTACTGCCAGTAGCAAGTCTGTATCTAGAGGCTCTGGCCCTTAAGAGTAGATTAGGCTGCACTATTGCACTTTTTAAAAGAAAGCCTAGAAGGAAATACATGAAAATACTAACATTAATGGTCTCTCGGAGATGATTTCTCTTCCTTCTGCTTTTCTATATTTTTCTAACTTTCTACAATTGAAAATATACTCCTTTCATAATTGAAGGGGGGAAAAAAACCCCTAAAACCTTAAGAAGATTAAGGCAGATCAAGGGAAATCAATAGTAGCCATTTTTTATTGGCATGTTCTCCAGAAAAAGATCTTTTTTGAATCCAAATCTTTAGGCATAAAAAAACAGATAAATCACAAATAAACAAAATTAACCTCCAACATTAAAAAATTTATAAAAGTAGGAATTTGTAAAAGAATTTAACTTGCCTATATGTTTTGTAATTAGAAAAAAATTCATAAAGAATAGGAAACAAAAAGAATAATTCTGGAAAAGAAACTTACCTGTAGTCTGCCTAAGGGCCTCTGAACTACTTTGCACAAAATCCCTGCCATAAGTGTAGTGATTTATTCTCTTTAGAGGCTGTGAGAAATAGAAAATAGATCCATCAGTCAAATATATCTTGGAAATGAACAGGAAGTTAATTATGTGGTCTGGAATTCAATTCTCCTCATTCCTAGTCCAGTTCATTTTCACTATATCATAATAGTTCTGTTAAAAAGAAAACTAGAACTTTTTTTTTTGCTTCTATTTTTTAACTTCTTAATGCACATCCATTGCTTCTATAAACTAAAACGGTTATGTTTATTTATTAGACACAAAACTATTATAGCCTACGATACTGACTTATACCAAGAGCAGAAATACTAGGTTCATGCGTTACAATGTATATCTTGGACAAGTTACTTAATTTGTGTGTTTCAATTTTTTCCCCCAGAGAAGAAAGAAAATAATACCTATATTGTAAATGAATTATTCTACAAAGCACCTAAAACAGTAGGTGCATGTGAAACCCTCAATAAATGGTACATTTTATTATTATAAAATTATTAAACTATTACAAGGCTAATAAGAATATTCTAACACATGAAAATAAGGTAAGTGTTGTATTTCAGTGTCCACCAGATTCCAGCTCAAACTCTAAATGAACTCACTCAAGTCTTTCCTGTGAGGTGGACAAAGCAATAGAGTTGTGGGAATCAATGCAAGATGTCACCTGAAAAGGGGTAGATCTAAGAAAAATTCCTCAGCAACTGAACCAATCTAACGCTAAATTGTTTTACCATACTTTTTCCTCTCAAATTAGGCATTACATACTAATCCAACTCATTTAGCTTCACACTTTCAAAAATCTTTCTAACTTAGAGTTCAACAAAACCCTCCTAATCGGACTTCTGGCTTTCACTGCAGACAAGATTTGGCACATTCAGGGTGCTATGGCTGTAGATTCGGCTTCCATTTTCATTCCTCTAACATCTTGTTTCCTTATCAGCAGTAAGTCATCTCATTAAATCCTATATCAGATAATGTCACTCTGCTCAAAATCTTTGAAAGAGCCAGGTTTCTAGAGGGAAGGCTAGAATGATCCATGTATACCCAATTAGAGTTGGAACATGTTTAGCTTAACATAGATATTGACAGATATAGAAATAATTATAGATGTGTATGTATACATGGGTTAGCTCTGTTAGCTGGGAGGATCTAAAAGCAATTGCATCCAGTAGCAATGAGCATACCCGGCACCCAAATCTGGGTTTTTAACAGCATTCTCTAATAAAAAGAATCAGGGCTTCTTGGAGAAATGGCTGTTTATGTCTGAAGCATCCTGTAGTGCCAGAAAGGTATTGCTCAAAAAAACAAAATGATGGGAGTATATCAAAGGGACACAGGAGCCAACTGAATGAGCTTCCAATGGCCAAAGCTGGAACAATTTGAGCAACAAAATAAGTAATGAAGTGTTGGTTTATAACCCAAACAAAAAAAATAAATAACCATAAGCCCATACTGATATAAATAAGTTAATAAATTAATGAGAGAATAGAAACAAATATCCCATACAGAAGGATTCAAAATAATTTATGTAGATATTCTCCCCTCAAGAAGGTGGAACTGCTGGGTGAGGTGGCTTGCACCAGTAATCCCTGGTATTTGGGAGGCTTAGGGGGAGAGGATAGCTTGATGCCAGGAATTCAAGACCAGCCTGAGCAACATAGCGAGACCCTGTCTTAAAAAAAAAAAAAAAGAAACCAAACAAAAAATATAATAAAATTGAGCAAAACCACTCATCCCATAAGTGCAGGCTATGCTTAATGACTTTCTCCCAAAGAGTACAGTATAGAAAAGGAGAAAATTAACTTTACATTAGAGAAACCTGGCAAACACTACCTCAGCCAGGTGATCAAGGGTAATTAACATCAAAAGTCAAGTTGATAGCATGTACCCTTAATATGATGGAATGAGAAGAATGGCTCTTCACCTCTATGGTCTTCCTCCTAAAAATCCATCCCACTCTAAGAAAAAACATCAGACGAACTCCAACTGGGGGACACTGTACAAAATACTTGATTAGTACTTCATCAAATACCTAACTGCCTCAAAACGGTCAAGATCATCTAAAAGCAGGAAAGTCTGAAGAACTGTCAGTCGAGAGGACCTTGCCTAAGGAAGACATGACCATTAAGTGCAATGTGGTATCCTGGATGGGATCCTGGAATAGTAAAAGGAAATTAGCAAAAACTAAGGAAATTTGAATAAACTACGGGCTTTAATTAACAATTGATCGATCTTGGTTCATTAGCTGTAACAAATGTACCATGCTTACATGATGTTAATAAAAGGAGAAGCTGGGTGTAGCATATATAGCAACTCTATACTCTCTTCACAACTTCTCTGGAAATCTAAAATTATTCAAAAATAAAATTCATTTATGAAAAAATTAAAAACCTCCAATGCCTCTCCACTTCAATCACAGTGAAAACCAAAGTCCTTAACTCCTCAGCCCCCCACTGTCAACCCTCCCCACCCTCCCACACCACACCCCCACCTCAAGGACTCCATCTCCAATTACACTGTCTTGATCAATCACTAATCAAGCTTCTGCCCCTTGCTTGACCTGGTACTAGCCAAGCAGGCATGCTCCCTTTGACTGTTTCCTCTCCTGGAATGATCCTGATATTAACATTAATTCCCTTACCTTTTCAATTTTTGGCTCAAATCTCATCTTCTCAATGAGGTTACCCTGATCACATTATTTAACATTTTCATCCACACTACAATTGTCAGCACTCCCAATCCCTTACTCTACTTGATTTTCTTTCCATAGCACGTACCTTCCAACATAAATTATTTGCTAGGTTTGTTGTTTATTGTCTGTCTCCACTCGATAGCATGTTAGTTCCATAGGATAAGGATTTTTAGTATTTTGTTGTTTGGGGTCTTATAGTCACAAATGTTTCCCAAATATCTACCTAAAGCAGCATCCCAAATATCTACTCTGTAGTGGACACAATATATTTTTGCTGAATGAATGAAGTTCAATTTACAGACTTCAGAAGGTGCGAAAGTTATGTTTTTAGAGAGGAAGTCTCACTATGTTGCCCAGGCATGCCACTGGCATTGAATTCCTGGCCTCAAGCGACCCTCCCACCTCAGCCTCTAGACTATAGGGTGCACTACTGCTCCCTGGCTCAGAAGTTTTTTTTTCTTTTTTTGAGGCAGAGTCTCACTGTGTTGCCCAGGCTAGAGTGCCATGGCGTTAGCCTAGCTCACAGCAACCTCAAACTCCTGGGCTCAAGCGATCCTCCTGCCTCAGCCCCCCAAGTAGCTGGGACTACAGGCATGCGCCACCATGCCCGGCTAATTTTTTCTATATATTTTTAGTTGTCTGATTAATTTCTTTCTATTTTTAGTAGAGACGGGGTCTCGCTCTTGCTCAGGCTGGTTTCGAACTCCTGAGCTCAAACAATCCGCCTGCCTCGGCCTCTCAGAGAGCTAGGATTACAGGCGTGAGCCACTGCGCCCGGCCAAAAGTTTTAAGTTTTAATAAAGTAAAAGTTATTCTTAATAATTATGCACATAACTCTTGGACCTTGAAACAATTATACTCCTACTGTACAACAGCTTTTCTTTTGCACAGCTGCAATAGGAAAATACCAGGTTTGATCCCATTTCTCTTTTTAAAAATGTCTGTGAATGTGTATGTATACACGGAAAAACTCTGGAAGGCTGTCAGAAAAAACGTTAACATACCCCTGGACGGTAGGCTACAAGGGCGATTTTTCCTCTTCGCCCATACCCCTGTTAAAAAAAAGTCTGGTAGTTTTTTTTCTTTTGTCTTTTTTAGAATGACTGTGCATGCAACGGTTCTTTTAAAAAGCTATTTCTTTTTCTAAAGAGACAAAACATATATCTAATTTAAAAAGGGGATGAAAACACTACTGAAAATGCAGACCATAGCATTTCCCTCGTAATAAACCGAGATCTGTGAAGGCAAGAATTGAGTGACTCTCTTTTCTCAACTCCTAATGCCTAATAAGTAGGCAGCCCTCACAACTGCCCGTTGGCAAAAGAGGCAGAACAAGCAGCTTTGGGTAAGTGGCGACCGAAACATGGTAGCAAAACCACGGTTTTTAGTAAACTGGCAAATATTTTAATTGCCAACTCCAGAAGATTTGCACTCTAAAAATGCAGCAATTTAAACATATGGCAATTTTGTGTCTTCGTTTTAAAAAATTAAGTAACCACTGATCCTCAATGGGAACCTTAAGTTATGAATAACGGAGAAGCACAGAAAATGCCAAAACAAAACAAAACAACCCTGAATCTCCCTTCCTAAGCCGTCCAGCCTCAGCGGCTTCGCCCTTGAGCTCCAAGAGTCAGAGTTCAACAAGCCGCGCGGCCCTAGATCCTCAGAATTCGGAAACAGGATCCGGTCTGCTGGTGATTTTTCTGTAATCAGTAAGAAGGGATCGAGAAGCAGTCTCAATTAGGTCGCTGTGACCTGCCAACTCAGAACGGAACAGGGAAAAATCAATCAGCATCTACAGAGGGTTCCCAGATACATACTCCTGGTGAAAAATGCAATACTTTCGGCCACTCATTCCCCACTCACCAGCCCCCGCTAGACGTTCAGCCTGAATCTTCCCATCGAGGTGAAGCCGAGCAGAGGAAGAACCACCAAGTGCGACACTTAAACCCTGCCGTAGCAGTGCTTGCGATCTGCGAATCGGGGAACTTTAGTTCCGGCGAAATCTTTCCCACAGAAGCGCCATAGAAAGAGAGCGCAGTCGCGTGCGTGTCACGTGACCGCTTCCCGGAAGCGCAGCAAATCCGCCCACCTTTAGCCTGGATGCCGAGGGGAGTGCCTGGAATTATGGCGCAGTCTGGGCTTGGGCAGGATCCCGAGAGTACTGCTGCAGTCACCGTGCTAAAGCGGGCGGTGGAACTAGATTCGGAGTACCGGTACCCGCAGGCTCTGGTGTGTTACCAAGAGGGGATTGATCTGCTCCTGCAGGTCCTGAAAGGTGAGCAATGAGCCTTGACTGGGAGGACCTGAGGAAAAGGAGCTGGTTGTCGCTGTGTCTGGGATGGAGTGAGAGAGTTAAAAAACGATTCTTTCACACGGCGAAGAAGCAGTGAGATGCTGAAGATGGGATAGATCTTTAATAGACTGATGTCATCAAGAAAATGGGGTGTGTGTGTGTGTGTGTATACTATGCTAAATTTTAAAAGATTTAAGAGACATAACCAAATGTAATATGTAATCCGTGATAGGACCTGAGTTTGAATGAACTTTAAAAGACATTTTTGGATCAATCTGCAAAGATTGACTATGGATTGGGCGACATTAAAATTATTAATTTTGTTAGGCAATATGATTTTTTCGGAAAAACTGTCTTTAATTTTTAGAGATGCAGACCAAATTATTTTGGAAAGAAATGTCATGATGTCTGTAATTTAATTTTACTCAAGAAAAAAGTTGAATATGGCAAAACATGCTAACGATTTTTAAAATTTGGGTGCTGGGCAATAAGGGTGTTAGTATACCATTATTCTTACCTTTCTGTTTAAACATTTTCATTAAAAGTTAAAAAAATCACATAGCAGTATAAGAAGAAGAAAAGTTTTTTATTAAATGAATGTACTGAAATTCGGTGTGAGAAATATTCAGGATCGTGAATGGGGACAGTGAGACTTTCCTTTTGTCAGGTCAGGCATCTTGGCAGACAGTTGTCCTAGTTCTTTGGCTCCTTGCTTGGAAAATTCACAAGCAGAGCCGGTGTGACAGAGTGACCACAGACAGGAAGCAATTCCATACAGCTTTTAGTGCAGAAAAGAAGAGAACTATACAAAGAGAGAGTATGTTCCAGAGAGGAATGGGTCAGTCTCCACTAGTGGAGAAAGACGTTGAGGACTCTCAGATGGTTTCATTTTATTGCCTGCTCCAGGGGCGGGCTTACTGCAGGTGTGGAATGTTACCAGATGATTGCTATACATGATTGACAGGTGCTCTTATAACAGAGTTGCAGCTCCACAGGTGTGTATGCCTTAAAACCTCAACTTGTTGCTCTTTTCAGTTGTTAGCTGCGTTTTCCTGCAGTCCCTTCCTCAGCTTCACCATCCCTAAGAACTGCCCTCCTGGCTTGTATCTGCCACCTGCAGATTTGGTCCCTGCCTAATACTATTAGGTAGTTATTCAATGTTGAGAAGTAACCAAATTCCTTAATGTCCAGCACAACCACTGGCTCATAGTAGACACCCAGTAATTATATACTAAATTGATAAGACCAACCCCTGCTTCCCAACCCCTGGAGCTCCCAGTCTGGCCCAATCTGGGGTGGGGAACCTGTGGCCTCAAGGCTACATGTGGCCCTCCAGATCCTGGAGTGTGGCCCCTCGGCTGAATCCAAACTTGACAGAACAAATCCCTTTTAAAGATAATGATAATGATGAACATGAAAGCAACAATAAGCGTAGATATCCTTTATGAGTACTGAGTGCCAGGCACTGTGCAGAACACATTAAAAGCATGATCTCATTTCATCCTTACAATTGCCCTGTGAAGTAGAAGTTGATGGTATTCTCATTTCACAGCATGGAAAAGTAGTTAGCTTTCAAGTTTTGCCACTAGGAGGTGGTAGAGCCACAGTTGGAGCCCAAGGCCGTAATGACTGTCTAAACTGCATCCAAAAAAGAGAGTATACAGTGTTCCTCAGGTGGACCAAGTCCTGTCTGCTCTAGGAGTCTAAAGCAGGAGAATCACAGAAGTTCAGCTCTAGTGTGTTTCACTGATCCTGTAGAGGTTACAGAGACAGTGACATGACAGAGACAAGTTAAGACCCCAAATGCAAATAACTCTAATGTAGGGAATAAGTACCAGGAGAGAGAGATAGACATGTGCAGTGAGGATAAACAGTTAAAGGTCATTTAGGAGCAGAAAGGTAGAAGTGGTGTTGGATAATGGGCTTTGGAGGAAAAAGTAGAATTTTAGAAGTCAGAAATTCAGCTAAGAGTATTCAAATTCTGTCTGTGGTGTTTTACCAAATAAGTGTGGTTCAGCTGATTCAGTGTATATCTCAAGAGGGAGAGTGAGAAGTAAAGGGTAAAGGTGCATAGGGGCTTGGATCACATTGTGAAAGGCCTTGACTGCCAGGAGATTTTAACTCATTCCATAGGCAAGCAAAACCATTTAAGGTTTTTACAAAATTAGAGTACCAAATTTTTATAAAATTTCAGGGCTTGCCTCTCTTAGGAATATGTTCTTCTCTCACAAATATTTGCATGGCATACTCTCTCTACTCCTTCAGTTACATAAATATCACCTTCTTTGGGAGGCCTTCCCTGACCTCCACTGTAAAATTACAACCCCATCCTAGCACTCCCTACCCTTTTTCCTGCTTTAATTTTATTTAATAGCACTTATCGCAATCTAATATAAATGTTTTACAAACTTATTTTTATTCTTGTCTTTCCTCCTACTTGAATAGTAGGGGAGAATTATGTCTGATTTATTAACTACTATATCCCAGTGCTTAGAACAATGTCTGGCATGTATTAATAGTTCTCAGTAAATATTTCTTGAATAAATGACTGAATGTGGCAAGGGTGTAAAATAGATATGCACCTGTAGAGACTGCAGTCAAGCAGACCAATTAAGGCACTCCTGCAGGAATCAAGATGAGAGTTGAGTGCAGCCATTATGGAAAACAGTATGGAGGTTCATCAAAAAATTAAAAATAGAACTATCATATGATCCAACAATTCTACTATGGGTATATATCCAAAGGAAATGAAATCAGTATGCTGAAGAGATACTTGCACTCCTGTGTTTATTACAGCACTATTCATAATTGCCAAGATATGGAATCAACCTAGGTATTCAACAACAGATGAATGGATAAAGAAAATGTGGCATGTATACACAATGGAATACTATTCAGCCATAAAAAAGAATGAAATCTTGTCATTTGTGACAGCATGGATGAACCTGGAGGACATTATGTTAAGTGAAATAAGCCAGACACAGAAAGACAATTACTGTATGACCTCACTCATATGCAAAACCTAAAAATGTTGATCGCATAGAAACAGAAAGTAGAAGAGTGGTTACTGGAGGCTGGGAAGGGGAGGGGGAGAGGTTGGTCAATGCATACATAATTACAGTTAGATAGGAGGAATAAGTTCTGGTGTCCCATTGCACAGTAAGGTGACCATAGTTAATGCATTGTATATTTCAAGATGGCTAGAAGAGAAGATTTTGAATGCTCTCACCACAAAGAAACAGTAAATATTTGAGGTGATGGATATGCTAATTACCCCGATTTGATCATTACACGATGTACACATGTATCAAAACATCACATTTTACCCCATTAATGTGTACAATTATGTGTCAATTAAAATTAAATTAAAAGATGAGAGGTGATAAGCACCTGAATGAATCAGGGAGGCGATACCTATATTAGGATAAGGATGTCGAATTCTTGGCATTGGCACATGATTAGATGTGGGAGTGAGGTTCTAATGGGAGTCAAAGGTGGCTGTAAGGTTACAAGACTGGAAAATGATGGCATGGTGATTGAAGGGTGGGTCTACAGTGTCAAACACTGCCAGCTGATCAAGGATGATGACTGAGAAAGGACTGCTACATAATTTAAAACAGAAAGGTTAAGGAAAGGTGGTTTTTTGGTTTTGTTTTAGCAAGAGGATGAGGAAAATGAAGCATGTTTATAGGCAGTAGCAAAGTGACAGTAGAGTTTAAGAAAAGAGATATTAGATAATGTGTGGTTCTAAAGGAAGCCCAGAGTAAAGTATATGGAAAGGAGTGTGGAAAGAATTACGTAGATGATAACGATGTTGACAACTAACATTTATTGAGTATTTCTTACATTCCAGACTCTTCTGTAATTAATTATCTCAGCAACTCTCTAAGATACTATTATGGTTTCCATGTTACAGATGAGGATACCTAGAGGTTGAATAACTGTTCATGGTCACACAGCCAAAAGTCAAAAAGCAGGTTTTGAACTAAAACAGTGTGACTCCAGACACTGTGCTCTTAACCATTATTTATACTATCTCTTTGTAAAGAGACCATAAATACTTAATCCTGACAAAAACGACAGGACAGTTCAAGGTTTTTGTGTTTAGAGGAGCATGTCTCAACCTAGTAGAAAAGTATGAGTTTTCATATCACCTTAGGAGGAGCAAATAGGGTTCCTCACAAGAGATTTATGGATATATTAGGATTTTCTTATGCTATGGTCTTATAAGGCATGAGAAAGTTGGGGTCTAAATGATAATAACCTTGGCAGTAAAAGGACTGGAAAGGGAAAGATTTGAGTAGTTATGTTGATATCAATAAAACGCTGGGAACAAACCTAAATACTCATGGGTAGGACAGTGGTTGAATAAACTATGGTATATCCACGCAATGAAGTACTATACTTCTGTTAAAAAGAGTGAGGAAGATCTTTATGAACTGATGAAGTGATTTCCAGATACATTGTTAAGTGAAAACTGCAAAGGACAAAGGGTTTCAATATTTGATATGCTATCGTTCATGTAAAAAGAAGATAGAAGAAAATATTCATTTTTTCAGAAGAAATACAGGAAGGATAAAACCAGAAACTAATGAGATTAATTACCTAAAGTAAAGTAGGTGCGGAAGGAGTAGAAAAAAGGGGGAAATAGGAATGGGGTAGCAAGCTGAGGAGAGAGTGACACCTCTGAATTATTCACTTGTAATACATAAGGAGAGGGAAGAAAATAGGTAACCTATGTATCTTTGGAATATAGTATTTTGATTGTATTCTGTAAGGTTAAGACAAAATGAATAATATACAAACATTGTATTCTAGTTGGCAAGTTTGTTTCTCATAAGGTTAGGAATTCCGAAACTATTTAATATGTATACTGGGATAAACTAGTAAATATATTGTGGATAATAAAAGAAGTTAGAAAGAAGGAAAGGGGGAAGGCTAGAATGAACATCGTGGAACCAAAGTTATCAACACAAACTCATGGTTTTTAACATCTATTCCGATGGATAGAAAACAGAAATAAATATAAACGTATGTGTGTCAGTAAACCTATACATACTTCCTAGCTGTGTTGACTGAGAGGGTTTAGAAGTAGTGGTGGGACTCCCCCAGTAGCAGTGGGCACACCTGCACCCAGAATTTGGTTTCTCAATACCATTATTCAATAAAAGGAACCAAGGCTCCTTGGAAAAATGGTTGAATCCAGGGCTGGGGCAGAAATATACAAGAGGAATTTAAAACATCTCTCATCAAAAAATAAGGAAGTACTCAAAAATTATGGAGACACATTGAAAGGACACAGGAATCAACATGAAGGAAGCATCAAAGCCAAAGCTGTGTAAAATTTGAGCAGGAAAATTATACTGTTGGATTATAACCCATAGAATAAAATAAATATTCATGATCCATACGGACATAAATAAGTAACTGAATAAATAAATAGATTAAGAAGGGATGATGGAAATAGAAAACCACCATTTGGCTAACATCACAGTCATAATTGTTGCAGGCAAGGGCCATTGATGGATGCTAAAATTAGTGGGAGAAACGGTATCTCCCCACAAGATACTTATTAATTACAAAGGAGAAAATAGTGATTTTACAGTGGACAAATCTGTGAACTACACCTTAACCAAGTGGTCAAAGTTAATGTCATCAGTAATAAGACACATCAACTCATGTACCCACTGAGAAAGGCACATCACTTCTGTCATTTTCTTGCCTTAGTGTATAACCTCAGTCTAATCATGAAAAAACATCACACAGCCCACAATGAGAGACATTCTACAAAATAACTGACCAACACCCTTCCTAAATGTCAAGGTCATAAAAGACAAAGAAAGACTAAGGAACTTTCACAGATCCCAGGGGACATAACTAAATGCAGTGGGGAATTCTGGACCGGAAAACAAACTTTCACTAGTGGGAAACTTGGTGAAATTCAAATAAAGTTTTAGATAAGTTCATAGTATTATATCAATGTTAATTTCCTAGCACTGATAATTGTACTATGGTTTTGTGATATGTTAACTTCCAGGGAATCTGGGTGAAGGGAACTCTTTACCATTTTTGCAGTTTTTCTGTAAATATAAAATTAATTCAAAATAAAATGTTTTTTAAAATGAGAGATTAAAAATGAAATTATTATGGAAAGTATAAGCAATGTTGGAAGAAAGGAAAGGAAAGAGGGAGGGAGGAAGCAGAAGTGATTTGGTGATTGATTTGGGAGGATGGTGCATTGGGGTAAGACTTTGTTGATTATGTATATTCAAAAATGGACATTTTTTGTGTAGCTGTAAAAATGACCATTAACTATAATGCGGAGGTCTGGAAGAGAAGCTGGTTTTGTGGAAGACAAATAGATATCCTTTGCTATCTTTTAATTACACTAAAATTTCAACTTGTGGGTAATTAGGACTAAATAGTGCTCAGACTCAAGTTTGACATGTAATAAGCCACCTTTCTCACCCCACCAGATTTGGTGTCCCAGAGGTGAGACACAGTATCAAGAGTTCCCACTCCTAAACAAAGCTGCTTCAGATGAGAAGTGTAAAAATGAAGGTCCTGTATGTTCAAGCCAAATTTGAGCCCATTGTGTGGACTGAGGCAAACCATGCTAAAGCATAGGAAATGTATAGAAAACTTGGGAAACTGGAAATAATACCAGAACTAAATAGAAAAACTGTTTTGAAACTTGAGAATATATATTTTTTTAATTTATAGGCACCAAAGATTATACTAAGAAATGTAATCTCAGACAAAAAATTTCCAACTACATGGATAGAGCAGAAAACATAAAGAAATACTTGGATCAAGAAAAAGAAGGTAAAGAGGCTGTTTTAGAAAATGTATCCAAAAACTACTGTCATACAGTCTGTTTGCCCACTGTGTCTGGCTCCTGCCCTTCGGAGCTCTGTGTGGTCTAGGCCATTTGTCTTGGGAGCTTACAGTTTTATTCTGCATTTCTATCCCCCTATACAGGAGTTATTCTTAACCTTTTTTTTTTTCAGTTGGGGTGGGGTGGGGTCAGACACACCTTTGAGCATCTGATGAAAGCTGTATACATACTGCAGAACTTTACAAGCCATGTTTAAGGAATTCACAGATCTCCATGAAGCTTATGTGTGGACCCCAGTTTAAGAATTACTATAGAGAAATGCTGAATGAAAATCCTGAATTTTATTTGTATTTCCCTTTATGAAATGACCAAACTCATGAAACTAGCAAAGAAACTTGTGGCACTTCTCTCAGATTTTCCTGTGAATCAAAGTATTTCAAGAGTTAAAGTATTCCTAATGATTAGAGGTGAGGTAGGTATTATTCCCTATTTATTATTAGTTCCCTACTCATAAGTGTCTGGTTTATAAACATCTGTATAAAAGGTCATTGCCACCCTTAGCTAAAGTGCACGCTGCTGCTGCTTTCTATAGCCAAATATACTACTGCCTTCAAAAACCAGTGCTCCCAGCCCCCAGCTGTTCCTTTCTCTCTATCCTTACTACAACCCTCTCTCCACCTCTTCTAGTATTCTGTACCAATCCATACCCTGGGGCCCCCACTGAGGTCCTCTGTTGAGTGGGAATAAAATTGTATTTCCTTCAACCCAAGTTGAAATCTAGAACAAAATTTGACTCCAGAACATTGATGAAATATAGTACCATCAGCATTGTGGTTTAATACATTGAGTTAAATTAACCCATGTGGCTAGCTTGGCTTAAAAACTGATGCGTAGTTGCTAACATTATCTCTGTGGAAATATCTGGAATAGAATCCAAGCTTCTGATTTTTAAATGAAGTGTAAAGTGCAACACCTTAAAAATTATTAAGTATCATTAGGGGTCATATTTTTAAAAAACCTTAAAGGTCTCTGATAATTTATTCAGTAATCATTGTAAATTAACAAAAACAATGGAACTATCCTATTGATCCTGTGACATCTCTGTCTTTGGCTTGGGTTATTAAGTAGTATAAATTTCTACTTAAGACTCTACAAGTGCCAAGAAAGATTTCTAAACTCTGCATTCTACTGTATTTGTGCTTTATACTACTTTAGCTATTAAATTGTAAGACACAAAAAGACAAGTCAGAGGAGAAGGACCAGATAGCCACTGAGTTATAGCTTGTGGTTCTACCATGGTGAAAGGAAGTTATCAGACACCTTTATACATACAGCCCTCCCTTTAATAAACTGCCTGGTCTATAGGATCCAGCTCAAGAACTGGTGCCAGGAAATCTCTTGCCTTTCCCCCTTGCCTAACCTCTATGAAGGCAGAAATCACTCATGGAGTGGTTTGCCTTATTTACCTTTGTATGTGTAGCATTTTGCAATGTGTATGGTATATAGTAGGCATTCAATAAGAATTTACTGAGTGAATAAGTTAAAAAAATTAATTTGTATCTGATTCTGATTAATCAGTATACATGAAATATAAAATGTGTAAAAAGTCACTGGTTTTATTATTGAAGCATGTGTTTTGTAGATGGAAAATATCACAAGCAAATTAAAATAGAAGAGAATGCAACAGGTTTCAGTTATGAGTCACTTTTTCAAGAATACCTTAATGAGACAGTTACAGAAGTTTGGATAGAAGATCCTTATATTAGAAATACTCATCAGGTATGTGAAATGTACTAAATTATAATGAAGTATTATTTTAAGTGTACTAGTTAGTAATAATCCATCCTAATGTCTTTCAGCTGTATAACTTTCTTCGATTTTGTGAGATGCTTATTAAGAGACCATGTAAAGTAAAAACTATTCACCTTCTCACCTCTCTGGATAAAGTAGGTATCAAAAGCACCTACTCTTTCTTAACTTCTTAGCTTTATTCATTTACAAGATGTAGGTCAATCAAGGAAAACCTGGACACAGTGCTTCAGCTAGATCTATTTCTTTGAGAATTAACTTATTACCTGATAATAGGCATAGGAAATCTTGAGAAAAATGTTATTGATTTTAGGATATTGACCTTGTATTTGGCCATTTTGCTAAATGCTTTCATAGTTTAGCTCAAATAGTTTGTCAGTTTAATCTTTTGGATGTTCTAGGAAGCGATCACACTGTCTGCCTATTTACAATTGTCTCTTTACGAATTATTTTATCTGAGCAATAGTAACATGATATGATAGTGGGCATCTGTATCTTGAATTGATGTAAATAAGAATGCTTCTAAATAATTATGATTTCTAGGATTAATTTGAGAAGATGGCAGCCCCACCTGGATGACTAAACATCATTACTAAAATACATGTAAGGAGAGAGGGTGGAGTTGTGTTATGTTCACATTAGGAAAAAAAACAATAACTTTGATAAAAATAATTGGTCTTTAAACTATTGCATGTTCTTTGGTTGCTTATTTGAGATAATAGACATTAAAACTAGTATAGAACATTTACATTTTAATCCACCTATGATATATGTTGTATAGCTTAGAGATAATTTAAAATATTAATAACTGAGGCAGAAAGTTATATTTTTGCTATTAATAGGGCAGTAAGAAAGAGCACCAAATTAGCAGCCTGGAAGAAATAAAAGAGTCACTCAGCAATCATGGAGTGCTGTTGGAAATAGAATACTCTTCTTCAATACATGACCGAGAAATTAGGTTAGTGTACAATAATAATATTTTAATTTTTATGCAGTTGAAATATACTTTTAAAATTTCCCTCAATAAGTTTTATATAATTGCATATATATTACATTTAAATATTTGAATTTCAAATAAAACTCAATTTTTATAACTTCTCACTTTTGAGAAGGAGAAAAACTTAGTTTACTTTGTCCTGTGTATATGAGTGTAATATTTCTTTCTTTCTTTCTTTTTTTTTTTTTTTGAGACAGAGTCTTGCTCTGTCACCCGGGCTGGAGTGCCATGGTGTCAGCCTAGCTCACGGCAACCTCAAACTCCTGGGCTCAAGCAATCCTGCTGCCTCAGCCTCCCAAGTAGCTGGGACTATAGGCGAGTGCCACCATGCCCGGCTAATTTTTTCTATTTTTGGTAGAGATGGGGTCTCGCTCTTGCTCAGGCTGGTCTTGAACTCCTGAGCTCAAGCAATTATCCCGCCTTGGCCTCCCAGAGTACTAGGATTACAGGTGTGAACCACCGCCCCTGGCCTAATATTTCATAATGGAATAAAATTTACATGTTCTGTGTCATGTAGGAATAGGGAGTACTTTTCTGTGTACTCAACTATACATATAGTGTTATGATATTGGGATAATTTCTAGTGAAATTAATATTTACTTAATGTGGTTTTATTTCTTATGGGTTATTAAATATTCTGGTAGGCATGATAATATGCTGAGTCTATAAGAAAACAGTATATACAGTTATTTTAGTGATATCTTCCCTTTGTTTAGCACAATGGTTTTCATATGTTTATAGCAAGGGCACCCTCAGTTTTAATGAAAACTTAAGCACAACCTAAATATTCAAAATAGGTGAAAATGCAGCTGCTGTAGTTAAAGCAGAGGTCAGGGTCCAGGGCTCTTCCTGCTCACATTCCCCATCTTTAGGTAGTGGAATTCCTGAAACATCACTGGTCTCCCTGAATATGCTTTGCAGCCACTTATTATCAGAATAGGAAAGTTTTATCAACAAGATGAAATTCAAGAGTAAATTTTAATTGTTAAATTATTAGCTAATCAAATGAACTCATTGTTTTTACGAGTTTGTTTCATTATAGACACAGCCCATGATTAACCCCAGTTTTGATTCAACTCATGATACTGGAGGAAGTGGTTTTCTTTGTTGGAGGAAATTTTGCTGACACTTAATATACTACAGCTTTAATAACTGTCTGACTTAAATGAAATGTCTTGAATATAACACTATATACTAATTTCAATAGGTTCAACAATGGATGGATGATTAAGATTGGAAGGGGACTGGATTATTTTAAGAAACCACAGGTAGGATATAATTTTATGAGTAAATGTATAACACTGTTTTTATATCATTTTGAACAATACTCTTTTCTTCTCTTCTTAGGGTAATTTTTACCTTGGATATTGTGATTTTGATTTAAGACCATGTCATGAAACAACAGTGGACATTTTTCATAACAAGCACACAAAAAAAATATGATGGGTAGTAGCCTAATTTATATATTTCTACTTTAAGTGAATATTGGATTTTTAAAATTTTGAACAGATCATTTTTATAATGTATGTATTTCACAATAAACTTACATTTCTACTAATTTATGGATCCATTGTTCAGTTGTGGGAACAATCCTAAATATTTCTATAAATATATTACTCAGTAGATTTACACCATTTCTTTTCAAGTAATACAGCTACTTTAAACATTTTTTACCAGCTTTTCTCTTACTTGGCTACTGGAACATAAGTCAACAAATAATGAGCATCTATTACGAAGATGAGTTGAATCTCAACCTTGGGGGTGTTTTGAGTTTAGGAGGGAAAATTATCATGGATTAGCATGCTCTTAAGAGACAGATGGGCTTGCAGGTCTAATAACCAGGAAAAAAAATATTCTGTTAAAAAATGTGAAAAAATACAATGTTAATTTTGTTAACAATTAAGGTAATTGTCTTTGGCAGACATTTACCAACATTCAGTTGTCTAATATTACCTAACTCCATAAAGGCAAATCAAGACATTTAGTTATCCAGATGCATTTTGCAGCTCACTTACTTTGGCTGACATATTTGTGAAGCCTTGTAGCTTAGAATCAACTGTTCTGGGTAAGCTCATCTATCCAGATGCCAACTGAGTGGTTGGGGACAAAGAATAGGTTCCATGGAGACAGGCTGGAAGAGAGGACGAATGCTAGAGGTAGTGGGCAGTCCAAAAGCTTAAAGAACAAGCTAAGCCAAAGTCTGTAAGAGGAAAACTTAGGTACCAGTATTCAGTATTGGAGAGCGCACATACAAACATAACATCTGGAGACTATTCAAGCAGAGTTAAATGGTGTGGAAGCCACAGGAACAGAGTTGGACAAAGTGTTCTGGGCAACCTTGCACATTAGGTTTATGTTTTGCCTTCGTGGGTCAGCAGGTACACGATTAAGTTGGCATAAAAGGCCAGGAAGGGCTTCCAGAACAGTTCCTGGTGTTTTTCTTTGATGTTTTCAGGTTCAGCTGCTGATAATGCTGAATCTGAAAAATTTTAGACTCAAACCCATTTTGCTAAGCTTTATTGTATGGAAATTTAGGGCCTCAGGAGAGCACTTGGACAAGTGTTGGGCCTGATCAGAAGTTCTTTTCTGCAGACTATCTTAGCTTATCTTGCTAATACCCATCGCCACATGGAAGTGCCTTTTCATTCAGGTGAGAACATGTGTTAGACCTGTTTATGGTCATGTTAAAATAACAATTCTGATTTCTAGAGCATATGAATCTGTCACTATAGAGAATCAGCAATCCATAACCCTGTGAAATTAACTTTAATCCAACTCCTAAAAATCCTGGCTAAGACATAATGATATTTAAGGAAGACAGTCTACAGACATGTTATCCATTATTCTAGATATTTGGAGTTCTATTCCCAGATCAAATTAGAGCACCAGAAGGCTACCAGGTACAAGTTTAAATATATCAAGAATCATACAAAAACTTTATGAACAACTATAAGCTTTATGGAAGGATGTAAAAGAAAATTAGAAAAATTGAAAAGATAAATTATATTCCTGAGAGGGAAGCTTAATGTCAGTTCTCCCTAAATTAATGTATTAAATGACAGGAGACTAGGAGACTTGCTTGACCAGCTATGAAGATATGTAACTACAATTAACTTTCTGAAAAATATATGGGCATAGGAATGGGCAAATAATCAGTGAGATGGACTAAAGAGTCCAGCAACACATTAGAGAGAGAAAGTGAATGTTTGTATATGGGTATTTAATATATAATAAAGGTGTCATTTCAAATTAATGAGGAAAGAGTAGATATTCAATAAACGGTTGGGAAAAAATAGCATTAGGTCTCTACCTTACCCCACATAAAGAAATAATTCTAAATGGATTAAAAAGCTAATTAAATGAAAAATCCATTTTTTTTAAAAAACCCCACTAAATCAACTAAGCATAACATAAAATCTAGGAACTGTCAAGGAAAGGAAAGAACAAAAGATATCATATAAATATTTAAAACTTGAGTAAAGAGAACCATAAACAAAGTTAAAAAACATGAAAGATAAAATTTACAATATACAAAAAAAGTTAATATTCCTAATATATAAGTAAGATGGCCAGATTTTTGGCAGTGACCTTGACCTGACCTCCTTTAGCCTCCCCAAGGACTTGGTCCTGAGAGCACTCTCTCCTGATTTACTGCGTTGTTCCTGCCAGTACACATCCCCAGCCAGATGCCACCCTATTTTTTCTTCTCCTTCATGAACGAACTTCTTGAAAGAGTTCTCTCTACACAGGTTTTTCTCATTTCCTCACTACCTAGTCACACTTCAACACACTTTAATCTGGCCACTGCCCCAATCACTCCACTGAAATTGCTTTTGTTAAGGTCGTGACCTCCATACCACCATATTACCTGACCTTTCAGGAGCATTTGACCCAGTTGGCTGCTCCCCTCTTGAAACTCTCAATTTTCATGAAACATACTTTTCTCCTTCATCCTATCTTTTAAATACTGGAGTTCCCCTAAACTAGGTACTAGGTAGTAACCTTATTTTTTTCAGTTCACACACTCTAAGTGATTACACCAGTAAGTGCTCTTAGTGAAAAGCAACAAAAATTGCTCCTACCTAATGTAAGCAAAAAAGGGATTTATTATAAGGATAGTAGGTAGTTGAGCTATCTAGACTGAGACGTGGAGGCTTTGCAGTGAAAAATCACATCTAGAATCACAGCCCAGAACTAATGAGATGATACCCTTGCTGACCCTGATGCAAGAGTTGGATGCGGTATCCTGCATCACTTACATCAATGGCGTGGGACACTACCACTGTCTGCCTCACTGCCTTTGTTACCCAAGAAATTCAGGCTCCTGGCACTTCCAGGGAAGGGTTCTCACCATCCCAGGATTTCTGCATCATTAGCTTCTGATTCAAAGTCTGGAGCAGGTGCACCTGATTGGCAGGGCCTAGGTCATGTGCCCATGCCCTCACTTCAAAGGAGGCAGGGAAAACGTATAGTGAAATTTCTTTCTGTGGAGGGAAGTGGGCTCTAGCTCTTACCAAGTCTTGTATAAGGTGGAGAATTCCCCAAGTGTAAGAGGATTCAGATGCTAAATGGTTTAAATTTTAAATTAATTATAAAAGTCCAAAATTATCCATTCTCATGACTTAAAATACTATTTATATGCTGTCAACTCTCAAATTTACAAATTAAGCCAAGAATTCTTGGAATTCTAATTCAACTGCCTATTTGACATTTCATATGGCATTTCAGAAGCACACAAACAGTATACCCCCACTGAAATTTTGATATACCCTCTCACACTCCCCATGTTTACTCCCAACCATCTAGTTACTCAAATAAGAAACCTAGGAGTCATTTTGACTTCTCTCTCTCTCTCATCGCCATATGCAAACACTCAAAAAGTTCTGCGGAATCTACCTGCAAAACATGCCTTGAATCTGTTCCAGGTGTTGCTTCCTCACATTTCTTCTGGAATTTGAAGCCCTTAACACCCTTCACCTGATGATATCCTCACTCTTGAGGAACAAATGGTATTACTGCACCAAAGCACTATCAGGATTTTTATACTTTTCTCAGAAAATAATTTTCATGTGTTGCAACAAGTATAATGTTTAAAAATATGCCCATGAGAAATCTCAAAATTGTGTTTACTTGGTACTTAATATTGCTGCTAAAAAACAAAAGCACCTGCCCATTAAACCTGCTTCAAATGAACAGCTAAACTGCTAATCATGTTAGTCCCAGGAACAACTTGGAAAGTAAAATCCCCTTCACTTAACTCCACCCTGACTCTGAGATAACCAGTTGCAGGCAAAACCCTGTGTGTCCATTCCTCCTGTTCCAAAAAAAAAGGGTGAGGGTGGAATGGATCCATTCTGACATATGAAAATAATTCATAAAAAAGAGGACTGAAATCAATTTGGTGATATTCAAATACTATATTACATTGTTTCAGATAAAGAGGTCTCTCAGGGTCCTGAAACTCCTGTGTTTCAGGCTGAATTATGCTTCCCTTTCCTGCCAAATTCATATGTTGAGGTCCTTACCCCTAGTACCTCAGAATGTAACAATATTTGGAGATAAGGTCTTTAAAGAGGTAATTAAGTTAAGATGAGGTCTTTAGGGTAGACCCCAATCCAATATGACTGGTGTCCTTACAAGAACAGGAAATTGGGACACAGATAATGAATGCACCCAGAGGGAAGATCATGTGAGGACATGAGAACGTAGCTGTCTACAAGCCAAGGAGAGGTCACAGAAGAAACCAGACCTGCTGGCACCTTGATCTTGGACTTCCAGCCTCCAGAACCATGAGAAAATTTCTGGGAGTGTCATGGCATCTCTAGCAAACTTACATATACTGCCTCATTGTTTCCTTTTTTAAAGAATCAAAGTTAAGCCCTGCCCTGTAAACAGGAGTCATCTCTAATTTTTGACAAGTGCCTAATGCACTGTCCACTTCTTTCCATGCCACTGCCAGCAACATCTCTTGCCTGGACTCTTACAGTAGCCTCCCAACTAGCTCTCTGCTTCCTATTTTGCCGTATACCAATCCATTCTCCCCAGAGCAGCCAGAATAATCTTTATAAAAATGTCTTCTCATTGCACTTAAAATAAAACCAAGCTCTACTTTGGCTTATCGGTCTCTACATGACCTGGTCTCTGCTTATCACTCCAACTTCACCTTGCTCCATTCTCCCCTTTGTTCCCACACTTGAGTCTGCCTGTATCTCCTTCAATACCTTAAATAAACCCCGCTCTTTCCTGCTTTAGGGCCTTCCTGTATGCTGTTCTGTGTGGCAAATTGTCCCTTACCAAAATGGCTACAATAACATCTCCCATTCCAGAAGCGCTTGTTATAATGACTTTGACATTCCTCCCATGGAAAGGTGGGAGGAATGTCACCTCCTATTCAATTTTGATGTGCTTGTGACAACAGAAGTGATACTATGTTAATTCTAGGACTAGGTCATAAAAGGAAACATAGCTTCTGCCCTGCTTTCTTGGGTCACTAGCTCTGGGAACCCAGCCACCATGGTGTGAGGAAATCCAGGCAGCCTAAGCGGAAAGGAACTGAAG